TAGCGAGTGCCTGGTGGCATGGGACCTCAAAACTGAGCCACTCCTCCAGTGGATCAAGAGTCAGCTGAGGTACTTCAAGCATCTTATAAGGATGCTACCTGCTTGGATCTCAAGGTAACTGTTCCAACTGTGTTCCATTTACCTTGGAGATCGGAAGTCGGAGCTGGGAATGACATCACGCCTGAGTTAACCGCGTTCCAGTACAACAAGTTGCAAAGCCGTTTAGCAATACCAGGTTCATTGTTAAACATTGTTAGCAATACCAATTTATAACAATTTAACAATCCATGTGGTTTTTTGCGCATACAAACACCATAGCAGCACATCCACAGATAGCGGCTGGATAGTACTGTGTGTACGACCCATTTAATGAGACAGAAATAAGATATAAGTGCTAATAAACAGTATATAACTACATATTTCCCTTCTGTTAATGAAGGGTGCAGCCATCTTGAATTCTGAGGTCGGATTTGCAGAGGTTCCTCAGACTTTCTGAGTCGGAACTCCGACTTCAGGGGACTTTCCAGTTAAAATTTCTGACAAGGAACTTGGAAATTCCGACTTTCCAGTTCAAATGGAACAAGGTAATGTTATATAACTCATCTGGCTTCCCCCAGATCAAGCTAGAATCTGTGTCCTTGGTCTCACCTGCTCTGCATGCTGTCGCCACGACCCTCATTAGAAGTATGAGAATGATGATGAAGATTACAATGAAGGGTTTGTAAGGGTCAAAGATGCAGGGAGATATATGTCTCCAAAGACAAGGCCATGTTGTATCTCTGATATGCAAATTCTGTATAAACGCGTAAAAACTCCTTACCAATACTGAATATAAAGTAAAACATTAAACGGTCTGTTAATTGGGCAGTGAAATAGTCAGTAAAATGGTGTTGTTTTTTTGTCACTCATTTGACTGCTGAAGGCCATTGAATTCAGGTTTGGCTATCTTGGAAGGCATTATGTTCTGTCACTCTTATTTCATGCTTGCTGCTCTTGGTTCACAATATAATTTACCTCATCCATTATCCTGGATGAACAGGATAAAACAAATCTTGATTGACTGACGTTAAAAAACGTAGTTAGCTAGCTTAAAGTTTCCATGTACGACGCTGGCGGATACCTCACTGCGTGAATAGATTCCTTTAATTGTTAATGCATAAATGCACTTTTACTTCATTGTTCTTAAACAGTTCTTACGAGCCTACATTTCATCTTGAGGAGGGACCCTGAAATGATGTATCCATTACAGTTTGACAGGCGAAACTGTGGGCTCATGTGCATGAATTATTCACAGACATCCTGCTCCCATGTTTTGGAAAACTACAGCATGCTTGGAGCAATATATTTATGAAATTCCAGTGCGCCCTTGGTGTGTGACGTATTTTGGGGTTATTTTTGTGCGCCCGGGAACTCCACGCGATAAATGACAGATTACTGCATTATGCAGATAAATAATTAAGTAATAACAGTAAGCACTAATTGGTGGTTGGCTGATGCTTGCTTGACTGTTTTGGGTTGCTTGTATTAATATGCACCATTTTTATTGTTTCTGTGTCATATGACAATCCCACAAGTTGTGTATGTAATTACCTATGTCGCCTTTACATATTGTTATAATAGATTTTTTTGCAGGGAGGAGAAAGTTCTTTTATCCTTCGCATTGTCCAGTTGTGTCAGCTCTGTTATTATTCTGGTTTGCTGCACTGAAATTATTGCGTTTTTTTGAGAAAATATGCAAGAATGAGGATCCTTTCAGTTCCTCTGTTCTCATTTCGTCATATTGCGCAATGCAGCATTACAACAAAAGGAATGCCATCTTATGAGTGGCCATTTAGGCCAAAATGTGTTCCTGATAACGTACTTATTCTGTTTTTTTTTTCTGAAAAGCAAAGAGAATGGTGGCAGAAATATCATTCAGTGAAAATGTGGCTCTCGGACTACTTAGCATTTTCCAGGCAGGGAATTGTTTGTCCGATAATTAATGGGTAGAGAATAGTGGGCTTTGATTATTCTATTTTAAGAAATGCCAAACTTCCAAAGAATGGAGAGCAATGTAACTGTGGAAAAGTCACAGACCCTCCAGGCTGCCCTTCAGAGATGAGCTCATCACTTTACAATTCACAACTTCGATCTACGTTCAGTTGTTTGTCCTTGCCACATACACTACAAATATAGTATTACAGAAAACAGGAACAAAATACAGGTATGGTTACAATCTCATATGCTATAACAGAGAATACTGGCTCAGATTTCTCTACTGTCATAAAAGGTATAACTCAATGAAGAAAAATAATGTCTCAACAAAATATCCTTATCCCCCATTTAAAAAATTCAAGTACACAGGTCCATACCCTAACATCCCCTGCTATGAAAAGGACCTTCCATCATATTGCAATAACAAATTATCTCAAGTGTCCGTTAATGAGAATTTCGATTTTGCTGTGCTTCTTTTTGACCTTGCTAGCTTTGGTGATTGTCTTACTATTTATTCTTTATTTGTTTTTTTTTTACTCAAACTAAAATCCAGTATTGCATTAAATCAATCAGTTCCCTGATGGGTCAACCTGAATAAAAATGCATTATATTCTGGAATGTTTTTCATATGCATTAACCAACACAGATATATAGGCCTAGTGAGTTATTCAATATGTGGTACTTGGGTATATTTAATATCATAGCACTAAAGAGTCATAATTCCAACAAGCCTAACACCATTGATGATTACATTGAGTGCCATTAGAAATGATTTCTGTAACAGATATTACAGGGATTATTAAAATGTAACATATATATAATACATGTAATGTTTTGCTACAGTGGATCAACAGGAGATCAAAGTCCTAGATTAGATCGAAAGGGTGAAACGATTTTCTTTTTCAAATGAAGAGTGAAATCAAAACAATGACCTCCTGTTTTTCTGAAACAGAAGAGTTAATCGAAAATATTATTTCTATTCTCCAGGCCAAGGGGATATCAGTCATGGGGACATTAAAGCGGTTCAAGGAACAAAAGCAGTCCTTCCTACAACAAAGTCTCTAGTGCCATCTACTGGATATTTTAACATGAACTGTTTTGTTGGCTATTCAGGTTAATGTGCCGTTCCAACATTTTACATTTCATTTTAATTGGACATTATACACAGAACAGTGGGTTAATATTGAATCCAAGTGTTAAATCATGACATTTACATATTTTATTGACGGCCCCTCCCCCCAATCATCCTGTGACACCTTGGACCTGAATCACGAAGCAGGATTTCTTGCTTAGCTGGATAACTTGTCGGATTTAAGCCACCCCAGATTTAATGGACTTTATATCCGTTCACTTAAATTTAGCCCAGACTACCTTAAATCTGACAAGTTATCCGGCAAAGCAAGAAATCCTGCTTCGTGATACGGGCCCCTTGTCTGTCTCCCCCTCCCACATTGCCTGTTTCAAATCATGAACCATTGTTCCAAACCCTAAAAATCAAAACAAAAAAATCCTGCCTGAATGACTACAGACCTGTACCACTGACCTCTGTAGTTATGAAGTCTTTTAAGGAAATTATCCAATAATTTCTGAAAACCACAACCGAAGCTCTCCAGGGCCCTCTACATTGTGCTTACAGATCAAACAGTGGCCTGTACTATGGAGCGGGGTTACTGGCTTATCGGGTTAACTTGTGGATTTAAGGTACCACAGTTTAAATGGACTTCATATTCGTTCACTTACATTTTGCCCAGACTACCTTAAATCCGACAAGTTACCCCGATAAGCCAGTAACCCCGCTTCGTATTACAGGGCCCTGATCTATTGACAATGCCATCACCCTGACCCTACATCATACCCCTTCAACACTGTAGATTTCAGCTCTGCTTTAATATTACCAACCCTAACTTGTTAGAGAAACGCATGACTCTCAATGTCCAACCACCTCTCTGCTACTAGATCCAGGACTTGCTGACCAGCAGGAAACAAGTTATGAAGATGGGCAGCCATGTTTCAGATCCCATCTTAATGACAGCACTTCACAAACTAACTCTGTAAAGCTGTTTAAGATTTCAGATAAAACCACCTTGACTAAATTTCTTTGTCTTGTCAAAAATGGCAAGGAGTACAGCTACCAAAAGCAAGTAAGCCAACTGGTGTCAAAATGTGGCATCAACAACTTGGGAGATGAACACACAAAAAACTGCAGAAATTATCATTGACATCTGGAACCTCTGGACCTTCACATTTCTCAGCACCATCATCCAACAAGACCTCAAATGGGACACGAACACCACCTGCATAACTAAGATGGCCCAAATGTGCCTGAACTTCCTTCGTCAGCTGAAGAAATATAAGATTGATGGTTAAGTTATACAGAACCATAATAGAATCAATTATTACATCCTCCATCATTGTCGGGATTGGCTCTGCAACGTCGCACTCTAAGCAGAGACTGCAGCGAATTATCCAACGTGTGGAGAAAATCACTAGTTGTCAGCTCCCCCTGCTTGAAGACCTGTATTCATCAAGGATGAGGGACAGAACCAGGAAAATAATGTCAGATCCCTCTCACTTGGTCAGTTCCAGCATCTTCTTTCTCACCTTATTTATGTCAGCATATTTATTTATTTGCATAATTGACTACGTCCGTTTTATTTTTAATCTATTTGCATTTTTGATTATCTAAAGTAAAGATCATCTGATTATCTAAAATGAAGTAACATTTAAAACAAGAATATGAATTATTTTTTAAAATCCAAAGCGTACCATCGTTTTCGGGTATATTCCAAAAGTTTTCCGTATAATACATAACTTCAAACAATCAAGCCTACCTCCATCAATTATTGTTTTAAACGTGGAAAAACACTATCAGTTAACCGCTCGGCAGTAATCAAAACAACCGGATATCACAAATATCTTACACGCTAACGTATCTACTGGTACTGTCCATTTAAATTGACCATAACCAGCCAACCAGGCATGCTCTACACACGTGATCATGACGTGTTTTCTGTTCATTGGTTGACCTTTTAACTAAAATGGCGCCTTGGTGAGCGTCATGATAATCGTGTTTGCTTAGAAGTTGTAGAAACTGCTGGGCTTGGCTGGGTGTTGTAGGGGCAGCGGTTCTCCGTTTACGAATCGGTATTGATGAGAAGCAGTATGTTTAGCTCTTCTGTGAAAGATGCGGTACATTCGGGTGTTTGCAGGTAAGGAAATCTTAATTTCAATCTCAATGGATGAATGTGTTTCGTTTGAGGCCTAATATACCCATCGCAGATCTTAAATGAATCGTTTTTAACTGCTCTGTCTCTCTGCCTTCAAGATCCGTAGCTTACCATGTTTTCCCTTGTGGAAATCTTCCTTTTACAGGTGTTTCCGTCCAACGGACTTCGTTTATCGCAGAGAAAATACCTGACCCGTCTAATCAGCTTTCCGAACCTGACGTAATTCGTCATCGTTCTGAAATAGTAAGTGCCTTGTTTAGGTATCATCATGTCGGTCACGGGTAAGAGCTGCTGTTTCAGGCGAACTAGCCATGTGCTGGAGCTCTACCCTGTGTGACCTAGATTATATCAGAGGGGTCTCCCGGAGGCCGTTCTGGCAGTAGCAGGTGTGAGCATGTATACAGCTGTTTGATGCTCATGTATAATACTGCACACAGGTAACTTGCTTGCCTTTTTTGCTTTCAGGATGAAATGAAACTTTGTAGTACGTATCGTAATAGTATAATTTATTTAGATTGAGCCAATGACATTTTGTGTTAAAAGGGAACCTGTATAGAAGCTGTAGCCCTTGTTTTGTTGGAGAATATGACTTTGGCTGAGGACACTTATTCATGCCTATAATGATTAGCACTAATTGAAATGTGCTGGATTTGAGGAATACATAAATGGCTTAATTTGTATATTCAGCACTGGTATGATTAATAGGAATCTCTCCTTTCATTACATGATGGCACTGACCTGGTCTTGCAGAATCTCACTGATGGATGTGATGTGGATGCACCCATACTTGAAGCTATTGGATCAGCAGTGGGGTACAGTAATCATTCTCCAGACCTGTCAGCCAGGCTCATTCAAGTTCCTCAAGTATACCGTTCGTCTTCGATGAATGCTCTCATGTGTCAAGTTAGCGGCGAGTTGGAGCTCAAGGTCAAGACATTGGTACTGGTAGAAAGCTGCTTTAGGGACTCAATTGTCACCTTAAGATCTTGGATCTTGTTTCACTTCCGGCTAGACCTCCCAAGTCGGAGGTAGGGGAAATTCTGTGGTGGGATCGGATTTTTACTGGAGCCTCAGGACTGCAGACGCAACCTTCAACTTCAAGAAGGATCTCATCTCTTTACTGCCATCAGAACTCCTGACCTGCATCCTAATAATTCTGCTTTTGGTTGAGTTATTTTGGTTGTGCTTGTCTAGTTATCATAATTGACAGCTCATGTGTTGGAGATTTTTGTCACACGCACTGAACTACCGTGAAAGTGATAACCTAGCAGTGGAATTCTTTGTTCAGAATTTGAATGGCTTGAGGGGGGGGGGGGGGGGGGAAGCTTTTCCTCAGTCTCTTGGATTTGGCTTTCAGGCTGCGGTAGTGTTTTTCTGACCAGTGAGAAGAGGCCAGTATTGGGGTGGGTGGGGTCTTTTATTTTTTTTAGCACTTTGTCCCTGCATTGCTTCCTGTTTTGTGCCCTGCACATTTGGGAGCTTAATGTATTAGCAGTGAGAATGTGTTTCTTCTCCTTTTCTAGAACTTCACATGCAATTTGGACATGATTCTTTTGGCTGTCAGCCTCATTGCTGGTAAACATTGAATGTAAAGGCTTTCACTTCCTCTAAGGAAGTTGGATTAACACTGTATGTCAACACTCTTGTTTACTCAGAGTGCAGCCCTGGTCACATGTCTTTCCGGAAGTTACAGCTGCTTTTGTGCTGCATTTGGGAAGAGAAATGTGATACTCCCCACAAAGTGAGATGCATTAAATGTACAAGTGTGGTTTCAATGACTGACTTATTTATTTTTTAGTTTTAGAATAACTTAGTTGGGGGGGTGTTATAGAAGAACTATACAGTGATCCCCGCCTATCACGGAAGTTATGTTCCAGACCCATCAGTGATAGGTGAAAATCCGCAATATACACTCACCTAAAGGATTATTAGGAACACCATACTAATACGGTGTTTGACCCCCTTTCGCCTTCAGAACTGCCTTAATTCTACGTGGCATTGATTCAACAAGGTGCTGAAAGCATTCTTTAGAAATGTTGGCCCATATTGATAGGATAGCATGCAGTTGATGGAGATTTGTGGGATGCACATCCAGGGCACGAAGCTCCCGTTCCACCACATCCCAAAGATGCTCTATTTGGTTGAGATCTGGTGACTGTGGGGGCCATTTTAGTACAGTGAACTCATTGTCATGTTCAAGAAACCAATTTGAAATGATTCGAGCTTTGTGACATGGTGCATTATCCTGCTGGAAGTAGCCATCAGAGGATGGGTACATGGTGGTCATAAAGGGATGGACATGGTCAGAAACAATGCTTAGGTAGGCTGTGGCATTTAAACGATGCCCAATTGGCACTAAGGGGCCTAAATTGTGCCAAGAAAACATCCCCCACACCATTACACCACCACCACCAGCCTGCACAGTAGTAACAAGGCATGATGGATCCATGTTCTCATTCTGTTTACGCCAAATTCTGACTACCATTTGAATGTCTCAACAGAAATCGAGACTCATCAGACCAGGCAACATTTTTCCAGTCTTCAACTGTCCAATTTTGGTGAGCTCATGCAAATTGTAGCCTCTTTTTCCTATTTGTAGTGGAGATGAGTGGTACCCAGTGGGGTCTTCTGCTGTTGTAGCCCATCCGCTTCAAGGTTGTGCGTGTTGTGGCTTCACAAATGCTTTGCTGCATACCTCGGTTGTAACGAGTGGTTATTTCAGTCAAAGTTGCTCTTCTATCAGCTTGAATCAGTCGGCCCATTCTCCTCTGACCTCTAGCATCAACAAGGCATTTTCGCCCACAGGACTGCCTCATACTGGATGTTTTTCCCTTTGCACACCATTCTTTGTAAACCCTAGAAATGGTTGTGCGTGAAAATCCCAGTAACTGAGCAGATTGTGAAATACTCAGACCGGCCCGTCTGACACCAACAACCATGCCACGCTCAAAATTGCTTAAATCACCTTTCTTTCCCATTCTGACATTCAGTTTGGAGTTCAGGAGACTGTCTTGACCAGGACCACACCCTTAAATGCATTGAAGCAACTGCCATGTGATTGGTTGACTAGATAATTGCATTAATGAGAAATTGAACAGGCGTTCCTAATAATCCTTTAGGTGAGTGTAGAAAGACCATATAAATAAACACTTTTAAAAATATTTTAAGCCTTTAAGGGCTTAAAACTAAACGAAAAGTTTGCTCACGACAATTGGACCACAAGCAAAGGTACATGATACGCAGTGAACTGATGCATCGGGGAAAAATCTGCAATATAGCGGAGCATCACTGTACTGACTAACAGTTTCCCTTCCTAGACACACTGTACTAGGAGCCTGCAAGACCAACGCAACAGTTATTGTAACCATGCACCTTCATGCGTGTGTAACCATAAAGTCTTAAAAAGGAGTTTTTTAAAATATATATTAAATATTTGACAACTTCATAGTGTCTAGCTAATTAAATTTCTTTGTCTTAGGCTTCAATTGTCTGCTAATGCCTCAGTCTTTCAGGTGCAATTGTCATACCTGAAAATAACCACTAGATGGTGCTGTAATGGAATCGGATACCTGTGCTCTGGGTGGTGGCAGAATGTAGCTATGGGTATTCAAATGCTTCTGTAAATATCCCCATTTTCCCTCTGTTAGTCCACTCTGAAAATGGAAGATAATACACGTATTGGAAGAGGGGCATTTGTTTTGTTGCCTTGGAGTGTTTTGATGTCATTATGAATCCTATGTGAATGCAGCAGCTGTTTCCCAGTGCATGAATTTTTGTGTGGTCTAATTTTAATAAACATTTGCTTAAATATACATGTGATTTTAAATATCAACTGCTCTATCACTTTCCTTTTGTTTCTTTGTGTATTCTTGCCTATACTCCAAAGCTCTTTTTACCCAAAACGGATTGTATAATATAAAGTGTTTTTGATGAGCTGCCTTATGTAGCCTACCTTAACAACAGCGCACCTGTGTAAAAGCAAATCTCAGTGCTTACAAATGAGAAATAACGCTGCTTCTGATCATTAAACCATAAGCCAAAAGTGTCTTCTACCAGAAAGAAGAATATTAATGTTTGTGACCAATTTTTAGTGATGGGCAAATGCAGCTTCATGAACCATTTGCTGTATTTTTTTTTACCACTGCACTCGATGGAGGTCTTGGTTTACTTTGGGGGCATGCTTTGAGCCCTTTTATGAATGGAAAGCACCATGTAGTAGGATCCAAAAATACAGCAAATGGTTCACGAAGCTTCTTTTGCCCGTCGCTACAATTTTTTTCAATTTACAAGATTAGCTGCAGAAGCTAATTGCACATTTTAATGTGCTAATTGCACATTAGAGAAAATGCTGGATTTTCAAGACCAATATGTTTAAAGTTTAAGGGTTAAAATCAGTAATATTAGTGATTGAAATGTCGAAAGGAAGCAATGCTGCCTTATATCTACAAGATTAACCTGTATCTGGGCCTCTAGTGCAGAGTCACTATGAGCCTGGAGTCCGTGCCAGTATGCACCAGATGGCCCATGTTAGGGCGCACATTGACTTGGGCCAAGTTTGCCTCTATGTGTGATTTAGAGGCACAAATTCACATGCACCACATACCTTTTGGCTGTGAGAGGAAACCAGTGGGTCCACAATCACTAAACCACAAGTAGAACTTGCTAACAGGGAGGCAGGGCTCTAGTGCAACCCGCTGAGCTAGTGCACTGCTCTAAGTGTGCAATGTGAAAATAAGGGTCACAATAGGCAACATGATTTTGAAGTTTACCTGGTAGCAGACTATGGCAAACTCGGAATGAAAGACGTGATTGTAAAACCAAACCTGCTTAGTTTATTGACATACAAATGTTAATTGGTTTCAGCCTTGGAAGATTAAAAGCTCTCTGTGGAAAAAAATCATTAAAAGCGTATATATATAAACTTAATATTATAAGAGTACTTTACCTTTCACATTATTCTTTTCTAAGGATAGCTTCTACACTATAACGTTACGAATAACAATCCCTTAATGGTACCACAAATCAGTTTGTTATAACTCTTCTAGGTTATAGTAGCACAAATCAGTCTGTTATAGCTCTTGTAGGTTATAATCTTGTTATAGACTGTTTGTTTAAACCGTAAATCAGTAATAGCTATGGTTTATTCCTTGTTATGGTCCATGTCAGCCAAGAAGCCCACGTTATTCGTGTTTATGCTTTACAGTGCCGTGCTTTCACGCTTGCGTGAGCGGGCCTACGCTACCAGCGTAAAGTTACGGTTTGTTTACGCGTCCGTATTTGCTGCAGCTCCGCCCTCTTTAAAAAAAAAAAAAAAAAACGGAAACTCGCCAAACATCCGAACATTATTATTATTCCTCAGTGGGATGGAGGAAGGAGCTTGTTTAGTTGCTTATAGGTAGTCGGTGACCGGTCTTAAAACATCCGTTTTTGCTTCCAGTTTGTTATAAATGTATTTTTAAACGGGGAGTCGTGTAACATGTCGAATTAGAGGGAGCTTTAGCTACCGGGCCCGAGGTTGTGTGTGACACCCGGCGAGCGAGCAGCATGTATCGGGGATAACCAAAGTGGACCTAGTAACTGGGGAAAAAAGGAGCTTCAGCGGCCGGAACCGGCATTAAATTAACGTTCTGTCGAGAGGTGAGTAAGCCAGCCATCAGCGGTATGTTCGTCGGGCCAAACCTTTCGCCAGTTTCGCCGCTTTCTCCCCCGACCTCCCCAGTAAATTAAACCCCCCGGCGGTTCATCGCCGGCGATCGCTAGCCAGCTAGCTAGTTAGCTGCCACTTCACTGCTAAACTGACTGATCGAAGCGTCCGTTATTAGCAGCGACTGTGTGTTTGTGTGGAATACGGTGTCGATTTTATAGATGAACTAAACATGGTAATTGGCCAGCAATGCGGACACCGGGAGGTCTGTCCGGTAAAATGTAGTAATTTCATGTTAAGTTAAAGAAACGTATACTGGCCCTCGTAGTAAGTAGTCAATCGTAAATCTTATTATTGTAATATGTGCCTTAGAAATGGCCTTGTAATTAATTTCGGATATGCATTTAATTATACGAATTAGGGCTGTGATTATGCCTTGGATGACGACATAAAATCTGTCTGCCGACATACCGTTTTATCAGATGTGAAATATGCAAGAGTGTGACTTGTATTTTTGTGTCTGACACGTTATACTTTTGTGGAATGACAGGATCCATTCTACATTTTTGTGGAATGACATGTTTCCAAATCTCATTTGATCAGTTCACCGTATACTACACCCATATCGAAAGTGCCTTCATTGCCATTAATTAAACTCTGTTTTATTTAC